AATTTATAAAGATGGAAATCTTTTAAATGCATATTATAGATTTTTTAACGTAAATTATAATGAATGTAACTCAAATTTAAAAAAAAATGTGGATTCTTTTAATGAACGAATTATCTGTTTAAATAACCATTCAACGAAACTTAATGAAAGAATTAAAAATTGCAAAGAAAGGAAAGAGGAAATTATTTCATTTTCAATTAAAATTGAAAACAAAACTGTTTTATTTTCATTAGAAGAATGTGTTTTTTTAAAGAAAATATATGAATTATTGGCATTTTATTATGAAACACTAATAAGATATAGTTATATATCTCAAGCAAAAACACGTAAACAAACATTCACTTGTGTAACAGAGTATCTGCATGAAAAAGCTAGTCTTTTAGATATCGATTTAAATAAATTTGTAGAAGGTGAAGAAGAAAAATATGAATCCATTAAGATAAGTAACACTTATTTAATTTTTAAGAGAATAATGGAAATATTTGCGTATGATTTTTTTAAAACAGATCCATTGTATAATTTTAAAAATTCTTTAAAAAATATTCTTCATAATATTCATGATGGAATAAAGACAAAATTTGAAAATATTGATTTAAATTTGAAAAATAAAGCATTAAAACATTTTTATATTAAACTATTATACAATTTTAAAAAAATAAATAATGAGCTTATAGATAAATGTAAATATTTTAAATAAAATAATTTTAACTAGTTATAACCAATCGGGTAAACATTTTATATTAATTATATTATTATTTAAAAATCGTTAGTTAAAAAACCTTTATTATAAACATAATAAAATGATGAATTAAGTTTATTTTAAATCAAATTTTATCAGTGAATTTTTAATAAATATTACCATAATAAAAAGAATGAATAAAATAACAACACCTGATAATCTCTTTAATAACTGATCTTCAAATAGTAAATTAAGAAGTGCGTTTTCAAATAGAATGTTACTTGAAATGTATATTAAATATGTTATAACAATACTACTGGTAATTTTTTCATGATACTTCTTTGAAAACAACACAACTAATCCAAATATCAATAAAATAGAAGCACAAAAAATTATATAATAACTAAATTCTAATTTCAATGGTACTAAAATTATTTCACTAAGTATAAATGTGGATACAATTGATGCAGTTGTTTGACGTAAGATGGAATTAAAATTTAGAATTGTAAATAAAATTGTAAATAAAGCAAACAAAAATAAACGTAATTTTCCAAAAAGGAAAGATAATAAAATTAATGATTCAAGTGTTGCTACAGCATAATTAATCCTATATTTTTCTATTAATTTAGTTGGCAACAATAAAAACACACCTGGTACACAAAATATAAATGACCACCACATCCTCTGATCATTTTCTATTTTATTTAACATCATAATAGTACGAAAATTATCTTTAGTTATTGTAGTAGTGCTATCAGAAATAGCTTTTATTAAATTTGTTAGAAGTAATAAGTTTTTTAAAAACATGGACAATTAAAAGTTAGTTTTTATTAAAAAAATGATAACACCACCAAAAACTATAAAATCAATTAAAAAGGAGATGAATGCACAATTAGATTGGATACTTGAGGATTTAACAGAGTTGTTAAATTATTTAAAGTATTCAGAGAATAGGAGACAGGAAATACAATCATTGGTGTTTGCTAAAAAAAGAGTTATAAGTATCTGTAATAGAATAGCAGAAATATTTAGATATGCAGTGATGATAAAATATAAAAAGTTTGAGTATAATGAAAATAATAATGAATTTAATGAGTTATTTGAGAAACAAATAAAAGATTTAAACATAAAATAAATTTATTTTTAAACCCCAATTTATACCAACAGAAGGATTAGTAGACACAGTAGAATACTATATAAACAATAATAACATACAGTGTGCTTTAGAATTATCAGATGACTGTATAGAGAGGATGGCAGTACATGTTAAGTTTCCTTATGATGAGTCAATGTCACTTGATGGCAAACAATTGTGTACACTTACTAAGATATTCTTATTACAGAACAAATATGATGATTGTATATCATGTACTATAAGACTTGTTAATGAATACCCCAATATACTATTAGAAGGAGATGATTTGTATACTTACAGGATAGTTTATAATCTTATGGATTATTTAATAATTAACAAACCTAAAGGTTTACTTAAAAATTTCATTGAGACATTTGTAGATAAATTTAAACCCTCTTTAAATATGGTTGGTTATTTGTTTGATATTTCTTTAACTAAATTAGCTAAAGAAAAATTCATAGAAGCCATTGCAGATTTTAGTGTTATAGAGTTAGTTAGTTTTCTTAAGAAAATTAAACAGAAAGATGAGTGTGTTGATTTAATAATCGGTAATGATTTAATTAGTTTTGAAAGAGTAAAAACTAAAAAGTATATTTATGATAATTTATCTTTAATTTATTTAATGGTTGATTCATTGGTTATTAGAGATAAAGATGTTGTATCATTTGTTAAT